AAATGTAGATGCAACAAAGGTCTTTAACAGATAATATTTGCAAGCCACTACCCAAACCTTTGCTTAAACTACTGAGAAGTGATCTGAAGCAACTAATAAATCAGAGTTTTTTGTTATAGTAGAGTGCATAAAAGTTACTGACCTTAAGTAAGGTCAGTATAATAAATAAATAAGTCCAGTATAATAAAGGGATTTTTTAATATATTAATCCAGTAAAACAGTTGCACAGTTTTTATTTGGGAATGTTCTTGATAGGCATAATCTTTCCATTTTACTAGTTAACCCCTCCATAAACTGTGTATATAAAGAAATGTTTTAAAAAATATAACACCAAACTTCAGATTTACTGCTTTCAGCAGAATATCTCTTCTGTTAATTTTACTTTTAAGTAATTAGTATAAAAGAATTAGTAAGTATGTTACGTGGGAGAATTATGGGATAATTTAGTAGATCTTCTCCCTACAGTGACTCAAAAAAAAAGAAAAAAAACCATGACTTTTTAAGAGCCTTTGTCTCATGATATATAATAGAATATTCCCCTTTCATCTTCAGTTTTCATGGAGGACCTATATAAATATACCCTAGGATTTCCACAAGAGATAGACTTTTAGGCACTAGGCAGAAACAGAGTTCAGAGTTATTTTGGACCTCCTCACATTGTCCCTGTCTGATCATCTCTAGCTCAGTCTGTGTTTCAGTCTTCTGTGTCTTACTCTCCCCCATTTTGGTCCTTCAACCCTCTACTTCCTTCCTTCCAGCTCAGCCCTATGTCATGGTAATAAAGAACTAGCCAAGTTTGACTCATGTATTTGTGTGTTTTAGCTGAATCATTCGTACAATTATAAAAATTATTCAAGGCAGTAGAATTAAACTCTCCCTCACCACTAAACCAAAGAGTATAGTCAAAGATTACGTCCATAATGGTCCACCTAAGATATGACATAAATTATATGAATTGAAGGATATTTAACTCAGCTTATCTGAGGAAGGAAGAAATATTCAAAGTAACCTTAGTGAAAATACAATCCTTCTGGCCTGATGCACACAGGTCAGAGACCTGATACAGCCAAGACTTTTGACCATGGAGCCTTAAAGACAGATTGTATCATATAATATCCTTGATGATCTTATTCTTTCATTTCCATACTCTACCATAGCACCCCCAAGAATTCATCGTGATGGAAAGTTTCATCTGTCCTCTAAATCCACCTTAACTTCCCATGCTCCTGACGAACTTAGCATCCTCTGTCATAAAACCAGCTCAAACTTGAGAATTTTCAGTCAAAAACTGAATGGATGGTTCTAAGAGTTTGATCACATTCATGACCAACCTTTTGGTCAACTAAGAGTATCAGTACCAGTACCAACTAATAAGTAGGTCTGTTACCCACTTCATGTGACTCCTTTTGATCATCTTGTGACTTTGTTTTTGCATCCAGAGACCTATCTTATAGGAGTTAATTGCATGCAGTCAGGATTTAGTGGTTCTGTATAACTCAAGCTAATCCATCTCTCTTATAAAGCCAAATTAATAGACTACAGAGTCACATGCCAGGTCTTCCTGTGTGGCAACAGTCATTTTGGGCTGTACACTGAATTGTTGCTTCCAAGTTTCTAGTATTCCCCATAGCAGGTCACAGAAAAGTGGTTATGATTAAGACCTTCTGCTTGTTGCACTCATCAAAGGATGCCAAACTAATGGGCCAGTTCTAACTCAAGGATGTAAAGCACATTTCTTTTTGTGGGCCAAGTCCAGCCAATAGAGATAAAACTTTAGGCTCTCACAGTATGGTAGACTATATGACTTGAAAGCCCTCTGCTAAAACATGTAGCAAATGTAAGATAAAATATAGCAAGCATTTGCTTGACTGCACAGGGGAGCTAGCAAAGATGTTAAAATATTGCCAAGAAAGAATAAAGGGAGCTGAAAACCAAACCAGTAAGGGCATAAGCCACTGCTACCCCTGAGCTTCAGGCTTGGGTCTTGGTACCCCTCTCTGGAAAAAGGTGCTCTTCTCCTTTTACCTGGGAACAACATCCATTTAAGTTAGTCTGCTTTGTTGATTTCCCAGTAGCCACGGCCAGTTGATTTTAAACGGTTCCATGATTCTCAAAGACAATTTCACCCTTGCCTCTGTGGATACCAGTCTTCTCCATGAAGGGTGAGGGGCTTGGCATGTTTACAAAGCTGCCTAACTAGCTCATCAGATTAAATGCATGCTCTCTGTTCCCTCTGGGCCTACTCACCTGGAATGTCCATCACTTGAGCCATGTGAGATACCTGCTAAACAAAGAGGGGTCATTTGTGTTTGTCCAAACCTTGTAATGCTGGTTACACTTAGTTTTGTAATTTCATACTTTAATATTAAGGAAACAGGGGCGCCTGGGTGGCGCAGTCGGTTAAGCGTCCGACTTCAGCCAGGTCACGATCTCGCGGTCCGTGAGTTCGAGCCCCGCGTCGGGCTCTGGGCTGATGGCTCAGAGCCTGGAGCCTGTTTCCGATTCTGTGTCTCCCTCTCTCTCTGCCCCTCCCCCGTTCATGCTCTGTCTCTCTCTGTCCCAAAAATAAATAAACGTTGAAAAAAAAAAATTTAATATTAAGGAAACAGATGAGTGTGAAAATAAGGAGCAGTGTTGTTTCTGTGCAACCCAAGTTCTATGCTTTGGAAAGGAAAAAAAAAAATAATGTACCAATTAAGATGTGAGCAAAACAGCTGTAAAAGACTACACTGGGGGGAAGAATGTAAAAATCTAGAAGGGCCTAACACTGTATGTTAACTATACTAGAATTAAAATTAAAATTTTAATCTAAAAAATCTAGAAGGGCCATCAGACAGTAAGTTTATGGAAAACAGAGAACTTCAGTCAGTCTGGTGGATTGCTTTGTTCCTTGTTAAAACAGGGCAAGAATTTAAAGACACTTGGACACTTGCAGAGTAGTATGGGTACAGAATCCCGCAGACACCTGCTTGTGAGACACCACATTCTCTATAAAGTGCCCTTCACATATTCTCTGTGCTGTTTCACCCCACAGCCTCAGCGATAGGTACTGTCTATGAGTGCGGAGGACATTAGTAAACAAAATAAATGGATCATAATATAATAATGAAGCAGATAGGCTTTGGGGCAGGGCAGACCTGTTTTGAATTTTAAGTCTGCATTTTGTTATTTGTCCTTAGATAAATCATGAAACATCTCCAATCCTATTAGCTCAACAGCAAATAGGGATAATAATAATAACTACCTTGGTCCTGAAATTTTTGTGAGAATTAAATGAGATAATGTTTGGGGAGCCCATGGCACTATGTCAGATTCAACATTAGTGTTCTGGAAATAACAGCTGTTAAGATTCCATTGTTTGGCTTTTCTAAAACTTGCTCTTTGAAGACCTGTCTGGATGGCTTTCAAAAGCCGTCTCCCTGGTTCTTTCCGAACTTGGCTGCATTAGTGATGTGGGAGTTGCCTATCTTAGTTTGCTATGGCTGGCATAACAAAATACTAAAGGCTGCGAGGCTTAAACAACATAAATTTATTTTCTCACCATTCTGGAGGCTAGAAGTCCAAAATCAAGGTGTCAGCAGATTTGGCTTCTTCCGAGGCCTCTCTCCTTGGCTTGCCTTCCTGCTGGGTCCCCACATAATCATTCCTCTGTGTGCACACATGCCCCTGATGCCCCTGTGTGTCCAAATTTCCTCTTTTTATAAGGACACTAGTTAGATGGGATTAGGGCTCACCCTAATGACCTCATTTTAACTTAATCACCTCTTTAAAGACCCTATCTCCAAATACAGTCAGTCCTCTGACTGGGGGTTGGACTTCAGCATGAATTTTGGAGGGGATACAGTTCAGCCCATAACATTGCCACAAATTAATTATTTTTGGCTGCATTTGCAAATAACCCTTTTAAAGAATAAGAACCTGAAAAAAATTAAAAAGAATAAGAACCTGAATAGAAACTATGGTTGAGGGATTTTAAGATATCTTCTAGCCACTGAAATGCTAGGACTTTGCAGGATTCTCTATATATGATCTATATAACAAGTTTACTTATTATGCCTAAAAAATAGTTAAAAGGTTTAAGGCTTTATAAAATAATATATAATACTTATATTTATAACTTGTATATAACATTTTTAAAGTACGGTCTCTGGTAATAGGCTAAAAATAGTTTTTAAAGCACATTGTTGAAAAATAGCTGTGAGGCATTGAGCAGGGGGTTAAGAAACATTTATGTGTGTACCATAGGAATATATTAAATGAAATATTTATTAACTGAGCACCTGTTCAGGTACAGCATTAGGCCAAAGATTAGGGGCAAACCAGAGAAGTACTTGCCCTTTAGGGGTATTGATCTACTTGGGAAAATGCCAGAAATGTCACCAAGTGAGCTCATTTAATTGCCAGTTAAATTCTCAGTGTAGACACTGAGGCCTGTGTGTTCATAGTCACCTCTGAAGCCAAGAGTGATGGTTGGCTTCTATAACGTGAGAAAGGAAGGTGAAAATCAGAAAAATAGGTCCAGGGGTTTTCTCCCTGCAGCGTCAGGACAAATGGAAACAGAAAGCCCTGAGGAAGTACTGTATAGCAGAGAGGTGGGGCAAGGGTGCTCAGAAAAGAATCTGACTAAGAGCAGTTTCAAAGCCCACAGACCCCTCGGTTCAGACTAGGACAGTGATGCGTTCCACCCTTTCACTAAGTTAAGTAGGATTTTGAAACTGAGGAATGTATATGCTGGTGGCACTGTTTTTGGAATGAGTACAAATAGGATACCCATGGTTAGAAAACGTGGGAGTCAGGTACCACCAGATACTTAGGAGAGATCCTCACCATGAAGTGAAATGCAAGAAAAACCTTCATTTACCAAAGGAAAGAGGTCTCACTTCTTTACCTCATCCTCACCCTTAAGGAATATTTTACTTCGTGTAAACCATGGTAATGACCAATATGATTGAAATGTAACTTGAGAAAATCCTGTTTAATGTGTATCTTTATTCTTCTAGGCCTCTTTTTCGTGGAAGTTCAGACGTTGATCAACTTGGAAAAATCTTGGAGTAAGTAGTAACTCTAATTTTGCATCAGCATCTGTAGCATTAAAACATTTATAGTGCCTTTCATATAAAATGTTTATCTCTTGTCCTTCCTACCCCAAGCTGCTGCCTCAGACAGTGTTACTATTTGTGTGGTGAGTGGGGACATGGCAGACATGCTGTTTTATGCAGAGCCCATCGTGACATGTAGCCTATCCGGGCTCTGTTCTGGCAGCTTGTATGTTGTTCGTGTGGATCTTTTCGCTAATCCTCCTTCTCCATTTGGCTGAGCTCCAGTTCTTTTCAGATGTGTTGTGTGCTTGGGCCGTTTCAGATGTCCACTGTCAGAGGTGGGGCGCTTGGTAGCCTGGTAACCCATTCTTGCCCACTGGGCTTCCTGTCCCCATTGAGTATCCTTTTGTTATCCAGATTGGTTTTGCATTGTTTTGTTTTCCTGAGCAAAAGATGGTATGCTACACAACCCATTTTTCTTGGGAGCACCAAAATAGGAAATGAGAATCCTAGATTCTAACCCTACATCTGTTGCTAAATAACTATGCAATCTTGAGAAAGTCATTTAAAATGCCTCATAAAGTGCTTACACAGTGCCTGGTGCATAGTGAATACTTTAAAAATGGTAGCTATTATTATAATTCATCCTTAATTGTTTAACCTTTTTGTTCCTTAACTTCTTCACCTGAGTAATGAAACTTTGGATGTAAATTCTAAGATTCTTTCTTGTGCTTAACATTCTTTGGTTCTAATTGTCTGTTACTTGGCTTGTTGATGATTTGCAGAGTTCCATGCATGTCTACATGTTTATGCATGTGGGGGTATGTATGCTTTCATGTTTCTAGAATGTTAAGAAGGAGCTTTATCTTCTCACAAAGCATGAAGTATGGCATCCTTTTGGGATATGTGCTTGTGCCAAGCCCCATCAGAATTGGGGGGGGGGG